TCTGCTTCCCGAGTGCTGGGATTAAAGGCGTGAGCCACCACCGCCTGGCTTGTGGATGTGAACTTTTATGTTTTCTGTGATCAGGATACTGCCTAGTGTGACAGTTGACCTCCCATTACCTGCAAGATATAGGACTCTCAGCAACTACCCCAGTATCATGTCTGCCTGCCTGGAAGCTGCCATGCTCCCCTTCATAATCATAATGGACCTAACTTTTGAAACTGTACCCAGCCCAATTAAATGTTTTCCATATAAGAGTTGCCATGGCCATGGTCAGATAGACAGGTAGACCAATGGAACTGAATTGAACACCCTGATATTAACCCATATATGTATGAACATCTGATTTTTTGACAAAGAAGCTAAAAAATATACAATGGAAAAAAGAAAGCATCTTTAACAAATGGTGCTGGCATAACTGGATGCTGGCATGTAGAAGAATGCGGATAGATCCATATCTATTGCCATGCACAAAACTTAAGTCCAAATGGATCAAAGACCTCAACATAAATCCAGCCACAATGAACCTGTTAGAAGAGTAAGTGGGAGGCACCCTTGAACATAACTCTCCAGTAGCACAGACACTAAGATCAACAATTAACAAATGGGACCTCCTGAAACTAAAAAGCTTCTGTAAGGCTAAGGACACAGAAAGACAAAAAGGCAGCCCACAGATTGGGAAAAGATACTCACTAACCCCACATCTGACAGAGAGCTGATCTCCAAAATTTACAAGGAACTCAAGAAGCAAGTCTCCAAAACACCAAAGGATTCAATCAAAAAGTAGGGTACAGAACTAAATAGAGAATTCTCAGTAGAGGAGTCTAAAATGGCTGAGAGACACTTGAGAAAGTGCTCAACATCCTTAGCCATCCGGGAAATGCAAATCAAAACAACTCTGAGATACCATCTCACTCCTGTCAGAATGACTAAAATCAAAAACTCCAATGACAGTTTATGCTGGAGAGGATGTGGAGAAAAGGGAACACTCCTCCATTGCTGGTGGGAGTGCCGACTTTTACAGCCACTTTGGAAATCAGTATGGAGATTCTTCAGGAAAATGGGAATCAGTCTACCACAAGACCCAGCAATTCCACTTTTAGGCATTCATACAACAAAGACATCTGTTCTACTGTGTTCATAGCAGCATTATTTGTAATAGCCAGAACCTGGAAGAAACCTAGATACCCCTCAACTGAAGAGTGAATAGAGAAAATTCAGTACATTTACACAATGGAGTACTATTCAGTGGAAAAAAAATCAGTGGAATCTTGAAATTTGCAGGCAAATGGATGGCACTAGAAGAAACCATCTTGAGTGAGGTAACCCAGTCACAAAAAGAGAAACATGGTATGTACTCACTCATTGATGGAATTTAGAAATGAATCAGGGGAGTGCAGCATGCAATCTCACTCCCAGAGAGTCTAGGAAAAGAACCTTCATCCAGCAACTGATGAAAGCAGAGGCAGATACCCACAGACAAACACTGAACTGAACTCCTGGAATCCAGTGTCAGAAAGAGAGAACTGTTGGGCAAAGGAGTTAAGACTGGGCTGATTTAACCCATAGAAACAGTTGACCTGAACAAGGGGGAGATCTTGGACCCCAGATTGATGTCTGTATGGAAAGCATGGGACTGACCCAGACCCCCTGAATGTGGGTGTCAGTAAGGAGGCCTAGGTAATCTATGGGGCCATGGGTAGTACTTAATCCCTGGTATACAAATAGACTTTGAGTGCCCATGTCACAATATGGGAGGATTTCTCAACCCGGACTCTTGGGGGAGGGCCTAGGCCCTGGCCTAGATGAAATGAAAGTTACTGGAGATCCACCATGGAGGGTCTCACCCTCCCTGGGGATTGGAGTGGAGATTGGGTGGGGGACTGGGGGACCTGGGATTGACATGTGAAACAAGATTGTTTCTAGTCTAAAGAAAAAGTAAAAAAAAAAAAAACAAACTTGAATGTTACCCCCAGAGGCTCCCCAAATGAGCACATGGGCTTTGGAACTACTATGGCAGCTGTCTGTGGAAAGAAACATCTTGCATGGTCTATTGCCTCCATCACAGGTCTGTCACCACAGCTAATGTGTCACCTGAGAGCCTGACTCAGGTTTCACCTGGCTTTGGGATTGCAATAAACACCCAAGAGGTGGGCAAGGAGGTCAATGTGATCTCATGCAGATACACAGAGGGGGAAAGGGAAAAAAAAGAGTTGCCATGGTCATGGTGTCTCTCCAGCAGTTAGAAACCCTGACTAAGATACCTGATTAACACATGGGGCATGAGAATGGTTGGAAGACCCTTGCATACAAGCAGTGGGACATCTGCCCCAGCTGTCTAAAAATCAAACTTCTACTCAAGGAAACTCGGTTGGGATTAGGAATGTGAACCAGGGTGTCTCCAGCAGAAGAAAGAGCCAATCAGCAAGAGCCACCTTTAGAAATCAGAGGGAGGCAAAGGTTACTCCCCACTTCCAGGCTTGGAAAGGAACATGGCTCTGCCAACATCAGGATTTTCAAATGTCTTACTCCTAGGACTACCAGACATTTGAGTTGTATTCAGCCACCAGTTAGGAGTACTTGTTAAAGTAGCCCAGAATTTTTATTCCCTTCAAGTGTATTTTCTGGCCCAGAATGTATCCATATCTGTGAATCCTTATGGCTTCTTGAAGGGGGGTATTCTACTGATTTTGGATGGAGTTTTCTATAAATGTTGATTAGCTTAAGCTGTTAATACTGATTAGGATACCTATGTCCTTACCGGTGTTGTACCATGTAACCTGTCAGTTACTGAAAGGGGCATGTTGAAGTTGCCCTTTGCAGTACTGGTGTGACTGTTTCTTGCAGTATGCAGTCATGCTAACTGCACCTGACACTTCTATGTTAGGCAAATGCATACTAAGGATTAGTATATCTTCTCCAAGAATTGAACTTCTTTATGTAACATTCCTCTTTGTTCTTAATAATTATTCTGAAATCATCTTGGGTTGAAATGAATTTGATACTACAGCTTAACTTTGGTTAATGTTAGCATGGTCTGTATTTCTCTAGCCTCTGAACTTTAAAATAATTTATTTTAAAAGTTTTAGAATTTAACATCTTGATTTATTTCATGTATTTACCATTCACACCACATAAAGTGTACTATTCACTGACTTTTAATATATTTAGGGGGTTGTCCCACCAACACTGTGTGTGTGTGTGTGTGTGTGTTTTGGAGACATGGTTTCTCTGTGTAGCTTTAGAACCTGTCCTGGAGCTTGTTTTTTTTTTTTTTTTTTTTGGTTTTACGAGACAGGGTTTCTTTGTATTGTTTTGGAGGCTGTCGGTCCAGCCTGGCCTCGAACTCACAGAGATCTGCCTGCCTCTGCCTCCGGAGTGCTGGGATTAAAGGTGTGCGACACTATACTTGGCCACTATAACATATTTTAAAGTATTTTTGTATTCTACAAACCCTTCTACCCTTTTGCATTCTGCCAGGCTTAGGCAACCATTAATCTACTTTCATTATTTATGAATTTGGCAATTCTGGCCACTTTATAGTCATTTTGTCACATTGTGATAAAATCATATACTCTTGGTCTTTAGTAAATGGAGTTACATAATATGGTGTGAGTTTTTAATAGTTTCTTTTGCTTAGTTTAATGTTGCCAAGGTTCCTCTATATTGCAGCAGGTATCAGAGATTTTGTTCATTTTTGTTGATTAATAATAATCCAATAAGAGGGCTGGAAAGATCGCTCAGAGGTTAAGAGTACTGATTGTTCTTCCAGAGGTACTGAATTCAATTCCCAGCAACAGTTTGGTGACTCACAACCATCTGTAATGAGATTTGGTGCCCTCTTCTGGTGTGCAGGTGTACATACAGGCAGATCATTTTATACATAATAAATCTTTAAAAAAATAATACTCTGTTATATAACTAGATTGTTTTATCTGTTCATCAGCTTCTGATAATTTAGGTATTTTTCGCTTTTTGTTATCATGAATAATGTTTCTATGCACTTCATATATAACTTTTGGAAAGTCATTTATTATTATTATTTGGTATATATATATATTGGATTAGTTATCTTTCTGTTGTTGTGAGAAAACGCCATGACCAAAGGCAACTTATAGAAGTGTTTGTTTTGGCTAATGAGTTCAGAAAGAGAAGCTTTAGTGACTGGGGCATGGCAGTGGGTAGCCAGAGCAGGAAGCTGAGAGTTTACACCGTGAACTGCAGACATAAAGCCCATACAAGGGACTGGAAGTGTGCTGAGGCTAGGGACTCTCAAAGTCTATCCCCAGTGACACGCTTCCCCCAGCAAACCATAGCTCATGGAGGTTCCTAATGTCCCCCAAACAGCTCCAACAAGGGACCATGTATTCACACAGTGAGCCCATGGAGGGGGGTGGCATTTCTTGTCCAAACCACCACATCAAGTTGTGCATTGCTGGATTATGGGATAACTGTATAAATTTGAAAGGAATTGCCAGGTTATTTACCCAGATTCTGTATGATCTTTATTTACATCACCGCTAAACCGTATAAGGCTCAAATATCTCCATACCCTCCTTCATTTGTTCCTGTCTCCTTTTTATTACAGTGACCTTTGTGGTATGAGAGGGTGTCTCATTGTAGTTTTGGTTTCCTTTACCAGAAGACCAACAGTACTGAGTATCTTTCTATATATTTCGTTATTTGTATATTTTCTTTGGATAAACACCTATAAAAGTCCCTTTGGTATTTTTTATTTTTATTTTTTGTATTCTGACAATTATTTACATGCTGAGGACATTGGTCTATCAGATAAATTTCCAAATGTTCTACTGTGGTTTGGGGGTTTTGTTTTATGGTATCTTGCTTTGATGATGTCTAGTTTGTTTTTCTTTTGTTGCTTATCCTTCTGGGGGCATAGTAAAAACTCTGTTAATTCCACCTCGGGAAGTCACACACATGTTGCTTATAGACAGTTTCTCATTTAGCTATGATTTTGAATTCCTTTTTGTATCTAGTGTGAAATACTTGCTGGAGTTACTCTTTTGTGTGTGGACATGCAGTTGCGTTCCATTGTTGCAGAACACTCTCTTCTCCTTGAATGACCTTGGCATCCTTATGTCAGCTGATTGTGAAGCTTATTTCTGGTCTCTCATTTTTACCCCCCAAACAATCGTAATCGTTGGCCTGTGTTGCAGGCAGGATTCTAAGCATGAGCTCATTTACTTCTCAGTTACTCGGTGATGGTGACTCTATTCTTAGTCCCGTCTGGCAGAGGAAGTAGCTTAGATCATGGGTGGTATGTCTGAACACAAACTCGTGCTGACACTGACAGCCTGTGCTCTAAGCCGTGGTGTTAACAAATGGTAGAACCAGAACTGCAGACCTGTACTGAAAAATCCATTTTAACAAAAATCACGGTGAGTCGGATTGGCCTAGTGGGCTGGAGAAACACCTCCGATAGAGGCTTATATGCGCTTGTCTCTGCATGGTGGGGTCAGAAACCTTTTTACCTCCAGGCCGAGGGCTGTAACCCGAGTTAAAGCGTTAGTTAGTCTCGGTGGGTTCCCTGCAGCCTCGGAATCGCAAGCAGGTCAGAGCCCACGCAGGGGCAGTACTAGGTGGAGACCTAAAGGAGTCTGCTTTCTGGCGGGAGGTTGCCCGAGACATGGGAACTCTCGCGAGAAGACGTCGTTACCATGGCAACCGCATCGCACCAGGCTAGAAAGATGGCTGGGCGAAGTGTGGGAGTGCCGGTGAGTTCCGCCCGACACCTGACCCGGTGCCTGGGCTGCGGGGCGGGCAGGCGGAATGAACTTCAGACTCCCTTGAACTTGAGTTCTGCAATTCTGTCTGCAGAGACGCCGTGCTGCAGATACTCAGTCACGCGGGCAGCTTGCAGCTGGACGCGACCTCCTGGCCCGCGAGCAAGAGTACAAGTGAGGATCACTCATGTCCCTGTGAGGTTACTGGGGTGCCTTTCCTGCCGGGTCGCTGCATCTGGGGACCCCCTCCTTCATCATCTGCTCTTAGCCTTGGTATTTCAGCGCGGCAGTCTGAGAAGATAATTGTAAAGGCAAAAAAGTAGTCCAAAAACCGTGTTGGGCAGCAGGAGGGGTCACTTGGAGCAAAGGAATCGCCACCAAGAGTGGAGGTCCCAGAGAAGACGATGTTGAGGATTCTCAAATTACTTGAGTGTACTTTGTGCAAACTTCTTAGAGACTTGCCGTCTAAATGAACCCTTGCCTTGTTCTCCGGCAGTGACGGTGCTCCTGAAAACACAGGCTTCAAATTCTCCGCCCCTCATCCCCAGGTTGCTCGCAGTAGCCAGAGCAACCCTTTTATTTTCAGTTTATCTTTCGCTGCACTGGCTTAGAACTGCTTTTTTTTTTTTTTTTTTTTTTTTTTTTCCTGTAGCACTTGGAAAGCTTTGGCAGCTCTGGCTCTTTTCATTTAGCCTTCTGCCCCTCTCTCACGTATAAAGTACGGAGCTCTCCAGTCACAAGGGACTCGGGTTTTTCTTTCCTCCCTTCTCTTTTCTTGAGGGAAATCACCTGCCTTTGGACCATAAAGCCCGGAGGGGCCTTAGACCATGCTAAACAGGACCCTACTTGTTGAGTGTTTTTTTAATTAACATATTCTGTTAAATAAACTCACTCGATAGCTTTTTAAATATTTACTTATTTTTAACCTGAAACAGGTTCTCTGTACATAGCCCTGGCTGTCCTGGAACTCCCTCTAGTCTGGCCCTGAACTCACAGAGATCCTCCTGCCTCTGCATTCAGAGTGCTGGAATTAAAGGCTTGCACCACCATAATTTACTTTCTTATATTCTGCCTCTTCTGGACTCTAAACTCCACCAGGATGGAGAGCATGTCTGCTTTATTTGCCATTTGATGTACCCTTATTAAAGTATATCCTAACCTTTGTTTGTGTTTTCATTTTTTTTTCCAGACAAGCTTTCTTTGTGTAACTGTTGCTGCCCTAAAACTAGCTCTGTAGACCAGGTTGGCCTTGAACTCACAGAGATCCACCTGCCTCTGCCTCCCAAGTGCTGGGATTAAAGGTTTCACCACTGCCCAGCAACAACTTTTGAATTGAAAGCATTTAAACACAAGATGTGTGTGTAAGCAGTGTGCAGATCTTCAGCATTACGCAGCTCTCATGCTGTAGAGCCCTGTGGATTCTGGTGGACACCACCATCTGCTAATTACGATAGTTTTTCTCCGTTTTTGTTTCCTGTGCACCTGCTTTCCCCTGTTTGTGATAATGCAAGGTGGAATACAAAAGTAACCATGAGCCTCCTTAGTGTAGCTGTGATTCTGAGGAGCTCACTTTTAATAATTCACCATTATATTTGAGGTTTGCTCCAGGGTTCGGGCAGATTCCTGTTAAAGCAGGCTTTAAAAAAGTTGTTTGCTCTGATTCCTATCAAAAAATTTCTCCACATTTAATTCAGGATGAGATGAATGTGTCAGAGGAGTTTATGGCAGGCACAATACCTTGGTGGATCAAGAAAAAGAGTTCAGGCAGAAAGTGATGCGGGACTATAGGCCTCAAAGACCTCCCCAGTGTCCTGCCTCCAGAAGCCACACCTCACAAAGCAGTGCCTCTAGCTGGGAGCCAAGCATGGGGGACAGATCATTTTCAGACCTTACTGTCTTTGTTCTTGCTCCTTCTGTCCTTTTTTCAAATTAGAGTTCTGATTAAAATTTTTTCTTTTTCTAGTATAAATCTCTCCTCCCGTTTTTTTGTTCCTTCCTACTCTCCCTTGGTGGCTTGTGTGATTTGTTTTTTCCTTTAAAGTCGTCTTCAGCATGGTCTGTTTTCAGAGTCCTCATATTCTAAATAAAAAGATAGACTTGGCCTTGAACTTCCCCTGCTCGCTTAGCTTACCTTCTACACTATGAAAGTTGGTGCGGTGTCTCTGAACCATCTGGACAAGATGAATCTGGAACATTCCTCTGTGTGTACGTGGTGGTCTCTCCACCTTGCTGGCTGTCCCTCACCTGAGGCTGGGGGTGGAGTCTGTTTCATAGTTCTTGTCTTTCAGTGCATTCACGTCCAGCCTCTAGGCTGTTTTGGTTTCTTTTCCTCTTTGTGGCTCTCACTTAGAATTTTGAGCCCTTTTTAGTACTATGGTATTTCCCCTGAGTTTGAACTTGGTGATTATTTCTATAGTTGCATTTTATTTCTCATTTTGGTGGATTCAGGGTAGAAAAATAGGCTTGGTTGACCTGCGTTGACTTAAAGTTTCATTTTAAGTTAAGTCCTCCTGATAAATTCTAAGAAAAAGTTAAAGGTTACTTTAAATATAATAAATGTGTTTCTTAGATACTTTCATCTTAACCAAGTAATCTTAAAATATGAATGTATTTCTTAAAGGTTAGACTGCTTTAAGAAAGGATGTAGTGGCTGGGCAGTGGTGGCGCACACCTTTAATCCCAGCACTTGGGAGGCAGAGGCAGGTGGATCTCTGTGAGTTCCAATCCTGGTCTACCGAGTGAGTTCCAGGACAGGCTCCAAAACAATACAGAGAAACCCTGTCTCGAAAAACCAAAAAAGAAAAAAGAAAGAAAGGATGTGGTGCTGTCCACCCAGTCCTCCTTAGGGTAGGGAGTAGGGGTTCCTTTTACTTCTGAATCGTGTAACAAATGGGGAAAAGTCCCTCAGTGAGTCTCCTTGAGAACTCTTTGCTACAACTTCAGAAAAGCCAATACTGTTTGGAAATGGGATCTTTCAGTAGGAGAAAAAGGTGTGTATCATAATGTGAATCATTGCAAGGCAAATGTAGACAGGACTAGAGTTTAGTGCACTAGGCTAACTGTGCTCCCTGGACTGTTGTGAAGTTAGTTAAGGTGCTGACTATGGGGAAATAAATGTATTTCTTTCCTGTTTCTAGGAGAATACAAACGTTTGTGTGTGTGCTGCAGATAATAATTAGAAGGGAATATTAAAAATGAAAAGGTTGAACGATGTTAGTGAACTTAACTTTTCCCCTTTAAAACATTTTCCTTATAATCATTCTTGTAGGCTTAATTGGATGAAGTAATAGTCATGCTTTTTGCTAGATTGCAAATGGAGGCCAAAGAAATCCCACATTTCTGGTGATATTGATACTGAGTGTATGGCTGAGTTGTGAGCTGACTCCCCAAACATAGTAACACCCAGCCCAGGCTGGCCTCCCTGACCCTGGTCACTCTGGTCATCAGGAGGCAGGGCCCACCTGTCTCTAAAGATGCAGGGTTAGAACCTGTGTTCTCCAGAAGTAGGATAATCAGGATGACCACCCAGTTTGCTCTTGCCTAATTCACTAATCAGATGACTTACTTCATGGAAGATGTGAGTAACAGACCATGGAAAGGCAGGGCAGTGTTTACATTCCTACCAGAGGTGGGAAGAGGCGGTGCTAATAGCTGTGTTCATTTTAGACTAGAAACGTGTGTGTGCTATGGCGTACACTGATTATAATGCAATTGTCAAAACTTAATTATTATTATTATTGTTAGAATTTGAGTATTATTCAAGTATTACTTTATTTTCTACTTTTTAGGCGTTTAAATGCAGAATTGGAGGCAAAAACTGCTGATCTGGTTAGACAAGCTGACGAAGCAATAGTAAGTAGATGTACAGTTTTTCCATGTAAGTGCTAATATTTTAACTTCAAATTTAATGCGTAGCATGCATATAAGAAATGCCCAAAGCATTAATGATCAGCTAAATGAGTGACAAGCTACACATGAATGTGTGCGATAAAAGTGATTTCTGTTTAGATGCTCAATCATGTACTCAAAAAGAACATTAATATGAGTAATCTTGTCTAGTACCAAAATATTTGAGATGTGGTTAAACTCATACCAAAAATTCAGTAGAGTTAAAATTCAGGGCTCAAGATGAAAACTGAGTAGTGAAGACAGACATCGAGATTCTCATGCTAAGCTGTTTCCTACACTTTGTAGTTGCATATAACTGAGGTTCTAGGGGCTAGAATAAGTCACAGAGCCAGGAATAATGTGAGGTCATTTCACCAGCCCATGTATGTGAGCATCAGTCTCCTTTCCAGTATCAGACTGGGCATTCATTTTCTAAGCATTGCTTCATAAGCACCAGTGTTCCCAATGCTAATTCACCAGATGTACAACCTTCCTAGAGCAGTCAGGTAGCTGCTTCACACTTCACAGTTACTGTCCTGACTTCACTGATTCTGTCTTTAATCCAAAAATGGGAAATTCTAGTGAGATTTTATTATTTTTTAAGTGTGTGTTTGTATCTGTGTGTTTTTGTGTGCACGCACTGGCACACATGAAACCCACCGGAGATGTCAGATACCCTGGAACTGGAGTTACAGGTGATTGGCTGTGAGCTTCCTGACATGGGTGCTGGCAAACAAACATGGGTCCTCTACAAGAATAGTAGGTGATATTAATTCTTCACTGAGCCATTTCTTCACTCAATATTTTATTTTGATGCTGCATATAAATCCATAATTATTTATTAGTTGAGGATTAAGAAATGTAGCACTACATTTCACTTAGTAGCTATTAATTACAGATCTGCTAGTTGTATTTGCAATTAAATATCTTACTGGAAATATTTTAATTTCATTTTACAGTTTTGCCAGTTTCTAAAGAGAAGGAAAGCATTTGTACAGAAGGACAGCTTGTCATAGTAGAATGAGAAGTGCATTTCATATATGCTTAAGGAGTCCCCTAAGGAGAACCTTTATTTTCACTCCAGAAAGAACCGAATAAATTGCTGAGGGGATTTGGAAGGCAGAAGGCACCTTTCTTCTCCAGAAGCTAGTGGAATGTACTTCTGCTATCTTCAGTTTGCATTTACTCTCTTTTGTTATTTAATAACTCCTCACCAGAGTTTTTATTTCCAATGCCTCACACAGACTAAGGAATGTAAAGAATATGAGGGATTTAGTATTCTTATATTTTTATCTTAGAAGTGATTTTTTTTACAGTGGAACAAAAGAGAAGCAAAACCATAATCAGAATTTATTTATTACTGTGTAGCATTTCTGATATCTTAGAGACCTCAGACAGCTCTGAAATAATGAGTGTTTAGAGAGGTGTTAAGCTAGACTCTATGAGGGGCTGGAGAAATGGCTCTGGGGTTAAGAGCACTGAGGTCCTGAGTTCAATTCCCAGTAACCACAGGGTGACTCACAACCATCTGTAATAAGATCTGATGCCCTCTTCTGGCATGCAAGTATACATGATAAAATAAATCTAAAAACAAAACCAAACAAATAAACAAAAACTAGACTCAGTGAGTGTTATCTTGAGTATTCATGGCTTATCCTGTTTAACCAGAGAGATCAGCAAGAAGTACGAGCTCGGCCTTTTTCGACAATAGTTACCTCATGCAGAGAGGAAGACGGCTACAGTACGAGGTACGTGACTTCAGCTCTCAAACGTGACTTTCATTCTTTCCCTATACAACTCTAATGTATAAAATCTTTTAACAAATGTTAAAGTATAGTTCAGGGAAGAGTGTAATATGTAAAATTGTAATTAGGGCCTTACTAATCAGATACAAGGCAAGTTCTTACCTGTTGTATCTCATGTAACTCTCCAAGTGAATAGATATTATGGTCTTTATTTGAAAAACTATAGCTTAGGGAAGGTCAGTGCTGGGCAAAGGTCAAACAGAGTAGTTTCTCTGAGGTTCCCACCACAGCAGTGTAAGAGATTTCTAGACCTTTTCTCATATACTCTACCGCCTCTCTTTTAAAGTTATGTGTGAAGATTTGGTAGTGATAAATTAGTATAGATACACATGTTAGTTTTTGACTTCTTGTACATTTTTGGCACATCAAGAAATTAAACAACCATAAAATATTAGTAATACATTTAACAGAAGTCTGGGTTTTATGTGAGTAAAATTGTTTTAGTGCAGCAAAGACAGTGAGGACCCCAAGCAGGCCATTCTGTGCCTTTGTCTTCTGAGAACTCAGCTGTTTCAAGCGTTACAAAACAAAACTCTAGTCACACCCACAGCTTCTGTTCAGTGGGATTCTCTTCTTGGTTCCAGTGAGCATTACGTTTCACAACAGTCTACAGTTTTTGTTCATTTCACAATGGAGTCTACAGTTTTTGTTTGTTTTCTTTTTGCTTTTTTTTTATTTTTTGAGACAGGGTTTCTCTTTGTAGCTTTATAGAAGGCTGAGCTCAAACTCACAGAGATCCGCCTGCCTCTGTCTCTCAAGCACCACCAGCCGGTAAGTCTACAGTTCTTTCTGAAGCTTGTTTCTCAACATTCAGAGGACCGCAGGTACATTGGTGACTAAACAGGCCTGACTCTGCTCTCAAGAAGCTAATACCTTTCTGTTAAGAGCACTAACTACTCTTGTGGAGGACCCTGGCTCAGTTCTCAGCTCCCATGCTGCTTGTTTCACAACACCTGCAACTGCAGTTCCAAGAAATCCAACACCTCTGCCTTCCATAGGCAGTAACACACACACACACACTCTCTCTCTCTCTCTCTCTCTCTCTCTCTCTCTCTCTCTCTCTCTCTCTCTAAGATATAAACATAAAAATAAAGATCTTTCTAAAAACATCCGCCAGCTGCCTACCACCGTGAGGTGTAGACAGTCCTCACTGCCAGCGCACTCCACACAAGACACACTGCAGCACAGCTACTGTGACTGGGGTCTCTCTGTACAGTGAAGAAAGACCTCTGCATGCAGTAGTGTGTGGTACCCACTGGAACCAAGGAAGAGAGAATCACGTAGCACAGAAACTGTGTGTGCCTGAAATCACACCATGTGACTCTCAAAACAGCTGTGGGCTCTCAGAATACAGCTTCAAGATATGGCCTGTTTGGGGACTGTCACTGCCTGTTACTTTGAGTTTTTCTTTCTAGTGAATCAATAAAGGTATATTTTGTACAATCATTTGGCATGAGCATATATTCATATAACAGTAAATCACTTATCTGTATCATATGTAATTCTTTCTGGTGTTTAGTGAAAAAAGATACTCAATAGCTACCCAATTTCCAAAGTTTGGATTACAGATAAAATTGGGCCTGACTTTTATCTGGTAAATGAAAGAATTGAAATGATGTATCGGTGGCTGATCCTTAGTTCCTGCTGAAGCAAGCAAAAGACTGATTTCATGAGTGTAAAAATAAGCCTGCTGGTTTTCTTTTACTAAGTTTTTCTCATGTCCAAAGTGGTGATGAGGCCTCTGTTTACCTGGCTTCTGGCCTCTGGTACACCATTATCACTGGACCCTCACTCCTCTAATTTATCTCGCTGTTGCCCCAAGTCATGGAGATCCTGTGGCTGTTATTCCTAAGGACCAGTCCCTTCATGCACTCCAGCAGGGCATTGATAAGGTAGATGTTAGGGCGGCCCAACCCAAGGCCCAGGATGTGGGTCTGTATGACCTATACATTTCTTAAAGGAATCAGAATTTCCACATCAATTTCCCTTTTTGTCTAAATAAGAGGGTTCTAAACCTAATACAAAACTATACAATAAGAACAAATATCAAGGGGGCTGGAGAGATGGCTCAGTGGTTGAGAGCACTGACTGCTTTTTCATAGGACCTGGGTTCAATTCCCAGCACCCACATGGCAGCTCACAACTGTCTGTAATTCCAGTTCCAGAGGACCTGACACCCATGGCAAAGCACCAATGCATATAAAATAAAAATAAATTAAAGAACAAATATCAAGTGTTTTCCAGGAGAAAGAAAAGGTAAAAAAGAAATACACCAAATTAGAATTACAACAAGAACATTAACAAACAAGAGACACACACTAAATGTCCAAGCTAAAGGTAATTGGCAAATAAAAGAGATTATTCGCATCTTCTCTGTAGTGAAATACTTAACCTAAGCACTTTTTAATGGCCTTCATTCAAAGTAAATTAATATCTAGGAACTAGAATCAAAGTGAATTCTTTGTGCATGTATGAATATTAAATATATGTATATGTCTAGATATAATTTATATGGAAATCAACTATATAATTCATATGTGTCAAGGTAGTATGTGGCTAATTGGAATTAGAGCATTATTTCCTCTTTAGGATATAATTACTGTTGACTCTCATGGTGTCTCAGCTTAATGCCATCTATTTTAATATAGTGCTGACTTTTGGTTTGTAGAGTTCTGTTGTCATCTGAAGGATTGGATCATCCATGGTCAGAAACAAAGGTATGAAATCAAACTTTCTGTAAATGCAATTATATTCTGTAGGACTTTAAAAAAAAAAAGCATGTGGGAGTCAGAGGACAACTTGTGGGGCTTGTTTCTCCACATCCACCAAGTAGACTCTGGGAATTGAACTCAGGTCATCATATTTGGCAGTAAGCACCTTTACCTTATTAACTATCTTCCTGGCCCCTAGGGTTGTTTTTTGTTTTTAAAGACAAATAGGGAAAGAGTATCATTCAACAGATAGAATGTAAAACTCAGGTGTGATATACTCATTCAGCATTGTTTATAAAAGATCTTGAGTAATTCAGAGGATAGTGAACAAAGTTCTAAAGAAAAGACTTTTTAGAATTAGGCTTTTCACTTCTCTGTCAATCATGATCCTCTAAAGTGAGACACCTCCTATGGTGGTTTGAAAGAAAATGACCCCAAAGGGAGTAACACTACTGGGAGGGGTGGCCTTGCTGGAGGAAGTGTGCCAGTGTGGGGGCGACTTTGAGGCCTCTTGCTCAAGCTTCCCTCAGTGAGGCTTTCAGTTAATTTGCTGTTGCCTTCGAGATGCAGCACTCTCAGCTCCAGGACCACGTCAGCCTGCATGCTGCCATGCTCCCTGACGTGATATTATTGGATTAAGTCTCTGAAACTAAACTGGGTGGTGGCAGTACACACCTAGTCCCAGCACTCGGGAGGCGGAGGAAAGCAGAGCTCTGTGAGTTTGAAGACAGCCTGGTGTACAGAGTGAATTCCAGGACAGCCAGAACTGTTACACAAAGAAACCCTGCCTCGAAACCCACCCCCCCCAATCATTTTTAGAGGAAGAAATGATTAAACTCTTAATTAATTAGTAGTTTCTTTTTCTCTAGCCAAAAACCAAAAACACTAGTCCTGTAAACAAGGCTCAAAGCAGACTCTACTCTGCAGATAAGGAAAGGAAAACAAATGCAAGGTACAGTATCGTCTGCGAGCACGACTTTCTTTTTCAGTTTTCCAGTCTGCAGTAATAACATTCTTAGTTATAAACTTTCTGTTTATCCTTATTCTTACAAAGCCTCCAATATAAAGCTACTGCATATATCCCATCATACTCGGTAACTTAAAGCATTTGCAACTCGGAACTGTTTACAGCAGTTAATAAACATTTTGTATTCTCTAAAACAAAATCACTACCTTTCAATAAATTTTAATGTTGTATTTAATGAGACATTATTGAAACTGGGATCTAGGTTTTATTCTATTTAAAGTTTTTTTAAAAAATGTATCTGTCTACATGTGTGTTTATGTGAATGTATGCCATCTATGTACAAGTGCCCTTGAGGACCAGAAAAGGGTGTCAGACCCCCCCCAGGGGGTTGTAGTTACAAGTGGTTGTGAGCTGCCATATAGGTGCTGGGAGCCAAACTTGGGTCCTCTGCAGGAACAAGTGCTCCTAAATGTTAAGCTGTCTTATTAGCCCCTGGGGCCTGGGTTTTTGGATCACTCTACTAGGTTCTTACAAATAAATTAAATTGTCTTCTGGTTCTTGACTGCTTGACACAATGCCATACATTATTGTGTTTGTGAGATGGGAATGGTTTGATATGATATAAATTAGGAATGTCATAATTATATTTACATTCTGCTGGTTTCTTATGATGCTAAGACTACCCTTAGGATCATAAGCATGTTTTCATGAGACTGGCTATGATGATTTTTTTAATAAAAGGAAAAGACTTTAAGTTTTATATCTATGACTGATCCAAGGTGATAATTACATTATAATAATGGGAAGACCTTAAATCTTGTGTCTTTTAATTGCTTAAAAGGGGAAAAAGTAGAATTGAAGGAATAGAAGATAAAATTTAACAAAACAGCCTGAAGAGTTCATTGGCTAAATTGCATGTATCACTCATAATTCCCTTGTCCATTTGTCACAGTCACTACTTAAATAAAAGTGGATTAGTACAAGAATTTGGAAGCATTTGCCTTCATGTTAAAAAAAGTAAGCTGAGCGGCCGGGCTGTGGTGGTGCACGCCTTTATTCCCAGCACTTGGGAGGCAGAGGCAGGTGAATCTCTGTGAGTTCGAGGCCAGGCTGGACCGACAGCCTCCAAAACAATACAGAGAAACCCTGTCTCGAAAAAAAAAAAAAAAAAAAAAAGTAAGCTGAGCTTTTGGAATCACAGTCTTGATGACATTTCAATGTATTTGGCCTGGTCCAGTCCTCTGTGCCTTTGGAAGTGAGTTTTACTCCCTAATTCTTCCTCTACTTAATGTTAAAAAGTTAAAACCAACATTTTGGTCAATTTTGATTCTTGTCAGAATGTTTCCCCACATGGAAAATAAATGTTGAGTTTGATGACACTGAGGACCTGGTAATTTTTTTTTCGTGATAGGGTTTCTCTGTGTAGCTTTGTAGACCAGGCTGGCCTCAAACTCACAGAGATCTGCCTGCCTCTGCCTCCTGAGTGCTGGGATTAAAGGTGGATGCCACCACTGCCCAGCAGGATGTGGTAATTCTTAAGAGATTAAATTCTCCCCAGATTTCAGTGTCAGGACAGGGCAGCATCACCTTGGACAGTTCTTTGCAGCATGCAAAACTAAAACCATACATAGGCTGGTTCTGACCAGTAAGCCTGAATTTCCCCTCATAAAGACTGATGCCTTCTAAGACACTTGGAGCAAAGTCCTCAAAGGTATCCATTATAGGTTTCATCTTTTTAAGTTAATTTTATTTAAATTAAAAACAATCTTATTTTACTACCAATCCTAGTTCCCTCTCCCTCTCGTCCTCCCACTCCCCCAATCGTCCCCCCATAGATTTCATCTTAAGTTTAATTTTAAAACAGATTTATCTGCTTTGTTGTTTGGGCAAAGCTCCATCCTCCCCACATTTCTGCTCATGTGTGTGTTCGTGTTTTACTTCTTAGTGTTAAACTGAAATATCCTAGTGTGCAGACTGCCAATGATGTGGCCATCCCAGATGATTTTTCGGACTTCTCCCTTGCCAAGACAATTAGCAGAATTGAAGGGCAGCTGGAAGAGGACAGCTTGCCAGAGTGTGGAGATGACATTTTCTGTGGTGTCAGTAAGGACATTGGGACAGGTAGGTTTTCTTTTTCCTCTCTCTCTCTCTCTCTCTCTCTCTCTCTCTCTCTCTCTCTCTCTCTCTCTCTCTCAACAAGGGTTCTCTGTGTAGTCTTGGCTGTCCGGAACTCACTACCTCTGCCTCCGTGCGCTGGGATTAAAAGGCGTGCGCCACCACCACTCAGCTTCAAACGAGTTTTTTAATGAATACAATTTCCTTTCTGGTTAACTTACACATGTAACTAGAAAAAAACTGAGTTTTAAGCATCTAGAAGAATTGTATTTGTTAGGAGCAATGCCTCTAAAATTACTGAAATTATGAGGAGCCACCTGTGCTGTTGGAATAAAAACCAGAACAATTGGAATTTGTGAGCATAGTTACTGTGAACTGTTATTTGCATGAATAATGACTTTGGGTATGCAGTATGGTTAACTGTGACTCCAGTTGGCTACCTATCCCCTCTGTGATAGCAGTTTCTCCATTTGAGAATTAGAGTTGGTTAAGTGATGTCTTGAACACAGCTTATGTATCACAAGAGGCTGACAGCATGTCTTTTTCAAATACACAATTTATTGTTCACACATTAAAAGTGTGTTTGTGGGGGGGCACAATTCACAGCAATGACTCTTAAGAACCTAGCTCCAAGTGATGCCACCAGTATCTGATGGTGGGATTGACTCAGACAGTGGCAGTAGTAGCACAAAACAGGTTACAGATCTGATAGCTCAGTGCACAGCAAACCACCATGACTTCATTCACGGTGGGGAAGAACAGTGAGTGGGTGCAGGCTCAGAGACAGATGATCCTTCAAATCAACATTGCTTGAGCTCAGTTGAGACCAGAGAGTCATGCTTGAGTTGTGCTTAGCCATTCAGCCAGGGTGCCAGACAGTCAGTGTTCACCAATGTCACTGAAAGAGTCCCCTTATTGCTAGCACAATAGCTTGTGTCCATTAAGGTATGTTGGAGACCAGCTTCTGTTGAGCTGCCTGGTCCTTCTATGGCTTGTTTCCTCCTTACAGACTTTTTGTCCCCTGCTTCTGATTGTTGTGGGCCACCTATTCCTAGGGCATTTGTTTGTACACCCAGGTGCTTGCTTCTGCTGACAGTGTGTTCTGATGGTCAGGATGTTTAACAGGAGTGCCTCCATCTTATTTTCTTCTATTTAGTTCTAAGCGTTCACTACAGGTGATGATAAAGTTTCTCTCTGAAATTCTTATTCTCTGAAGAATCCCAACAGGTTGTATGTAATGATGATTGAGTGATACCCTAGTCAGTCACAGTGGGAAGCAATTCATTTATTCATTTGTAGCATTTATTGACCTAATCAACTCTCTGGAACCATTAGAGGGAAGAACAGTCATCAAATCAGGAAGTTGGTTGTCACTCTTCAGATACCTTCCCGGACATTGCTGGGCAGATGTTTGTTCCTGGAGACAGTCACCCCCTACCCTGGTACAGGACAGAGATGCAGAATTTGAGGACCTGCTTCAGGCCTTACCATGAATACCCCTACCTGTGGCTGCTGTCACGGTATCTTCTATCTTGACCATGCTTGGCCTGGGTGTCTTGCGTCAGGGAGGTTATTCATGTACTCCAGATGTTTGCTTGGAATGGCTGGGTTAAGGGTGGGATAGAATGATCTGGAGTCAGTTTTGTAAGATCCAAAGCTTTATTTTTACTAGAGAGGGTCGGTTTGTTCTGTCAAATTCTTGGGCATTGTCAGCCTACGACCACCATAAATTCTGGTTGATATCTTTTGGATTACTGTGGTAGGCATGAATGCCGTCTGTAACCATATGCGATCATCTGCTTGTAGGTGTGGTTCTTAGGAGAAAGGGTTTTGTCCTTGTTCCTCTGTCTTTACTCTCTCTTCATGGTCTGTGTCTACCTGTCGCTGTTCTTTTCTGTTGTCCAACATGGGTAGCGTTTAATGTTTATAGTGTTCTACCACAGTCTCCTGTTAGCCTGCCTTCTTTGACCATATTTTCCTCATAAAATATGATCTGCCTCCCAGTCAATGATGTCTTAGACTTGGTAAAAAAGCAGTCATGTAATTATTTGACTCCACAGAAGCTCAGATCAGATTTCTGAAGGCCAAACTCCATGTGATGCAGGAGGAGCTAGACAGCGTTGTGTTTGAGTGCAGTAAGAAGGTAAGCTTGTGCGACCTCTCCCAAGGATGCTCTACTGAAGACACCAGGGACAGCTTTATTTTTCAGGTAGCCTTATTTAGATTGTAATCCACAGTTAAATATCATATTCAAAAATGTATATAAACACCAAACTTTATTCTGAAATGATGAATTATCACAAAGCTTAAGAATATATCAAAATTGTTGAAATTAGAATTTACTATTTTAGACTTGCCAGATAATAATAAGCTATTCAGTATAAAATATCTGATTTCCATTTTTTGGTGGTGAATATGGAATGGGATTTATTTTTCTCAGGAATTCATGTAAATATCTCATCAAAGACTGTCTGAGACTCTTGTTTTTTACTACGTGTTTTGATATCAGATCTTGTATATTTTTACATGATTGATAGGAGGATGAAATTCAGGATTTAAAGTCCAAGGTGAAAAATTTTGAAGAAGACTGTGTGAGACAGCAACGAACAATTACTTCACAGCAGTCTCAAATAGAAAAATACAAGAATCTTTTTGAAGAAGCAAACAAAAAATGTGATGGACTACAGCAGCAGCTCTCATCAATAGAGAGGGTAAATTTTTCCTCATCTCCTGACTCAATGCCCAGAACACACTAACACTATCAGGACTACACTCTTGGTAGTTGCTCAGTTAATAATATTTACAGAAATCACCCCCCTTAAACAGGACATTTGATAACTCTTTAAGATATATAAGCTATTTCACCTCTTAGTAAAGTTTGCAGTTCAGTGTCTTTTGGTATGCTCATGAATTCATGTACCCTGCTCTCAAATGTGAGCATATTCATAGCCTTCAAAAGGTGATTCTTACCTTGAGTGTCCACACCCCGCATCTCATGCATGCCAGCCCTTACTTACTACTCCTCTATTTTCTGTCTCAGTAGATCTGTCTGTTCTGGAAGTTTCCTTATAAATAGATCCAAATAACATACAGTCTTTGTGATTGACTTCTCTTATTGAAGAAATGTTTTTTGTTTTTGTTTTTTTTACTGTTCATCCATGCTACAGCACTAATTGTTTAATTCTTCTTTAATTGCCAGGCATATTCCAATATGTGGGTATAACACATTTTAAAATTTATTGTTTGTATGTTTGTTTATCTTGAAATGCTGGGGTGGAAGCCAGAGCCTTTCACAGGGACAAATGCCAGCTGTTTCCTAACGCTGTTGCATCACTCTGCGCCACACCTTCACTGCCCATCCTGAGTTACAGTATCCCACTGGAATGAATGACTAGGGTTCCCTAGCAACCAGTGATGTTCCTCATTTTCCATTTATGTATCTTCTTAGAGGAATGTTGTTCTATGACTACACACACACACACACACACGTACGTTGTGGCCCATGTGTGCCCCAATATAAACATACACTTGCACACATGCAGTAAAGATATTTAACAAAAATCATCTTTATTGGCTCGGTGTGATGACTTCTGCCCTTAATGCCAGCACTTCGGATTTAGAAGCAGGTGGATCTCTGAATTCAAGGCCAGTCTACATAGCAAATTCCAGAACAGCCAGGGCAACATAGAGATCCTATCTTAAAAAACAAAACAAAACAACAACAACAAAATACAACATTATTTAGGAATGTCTTAAAAACAATAAGATGTATTTGGCCGGGCGGTGGTGGCGCACGCCTTTTATCCCAGCACTCGGGAGGCAGAGGCAGGCAGATCTCTGTGAGTTCGAGGCCAGCCTGGTCTACCGAGTGAGTTCCAGGACAGCCTCCAAAACAATACAGAGAAACCCTGTCTTGAAAAAAACCAAAAAAAAAAAACCCCAAAAAACAACAAAAAAAAAACAATAAGATGTATTTGTTTAAAATACACACTTCAGTGAGTTAATTTGTCAAAGCAGAGAGAACAGACTTTGAGGTAAAACGAATAGTTTGATTTCTGCCCTGCCACTAGCTTATTACTGACAGTTTGCTTAGCCATTCATGCTGTTTCCCTTCCTATAGTATGTTTTGCCTACCATACACTACTGGAAAGATGTGCCTTTGTCCCCGCACAAAGGACTAATCTAAGCCATGTTGTCTTCTGACAGGCTAATCCACTAGATACGATGGATGTGACATTAACACCCAATTCGGCTAGCGTAGAGAAAATTCCTATCCCCTGTCAGTTTCCTTTACATTCTTTCCCATAGTCTCCAGCCTCTGAGCATCACCCCAGGCAGATGGTGAGCCACATTTATTTTACTGCACATTAGCTTTTTGTTTTTGTTTTTCTAAGATTTTTAAAAAATTCATTTTATATAAAACCACAGTTCCCCTTCCGTCCCCTCCTCCTGCTCCCCTGTCTCCCCCTAACCCACCCCATCCACTCCTCAGAAAGTGTAAGGCTGCCCATGGGGAATCAACACGGCCTGGCACACTTAGTTGAGGCAGGACCAACCCTCTCCCACCCCCCACATCAAGGCTGAGCAAGGCAACCCACCACAGGGAATGGACTCATGCATCAGGGAGCCATTCTGCTCCCACTGCCAGGGTTCCACAAACAGACCAGGCTACAAAACTGTCACCTACATGTAGAATCCCTATTTCAGTCCTATACAGGCCCCCAGCTGTTGGTTTGGAGTCCGTGAGCTCCCACAAGTTCAGGTCAACTGTCTGTGTGGGTTTCCCCATCATGATCTTGGCTCCCCCTTACTCATATAATCCCTCCTCCCTCTCTTCGACCGGACTCTGGGAGCTCAGCCTAGTGCTTAGCTGTGGATCTTTATATCTGCTTTGATAAGTTGCTTGATGAAGGCTCTATGATGACAGTTAGGGTAGTCACCAGTTATTAAAGGGGAAGGCCAGTTCATCTGGGGTCATCCTTGTGGATTCCTGGGAATTTCCCTAGCATCAGGTTTCTTCCAAGCCCCATAATGTCTCCCTCTGCCAAAATAACTCTTTCACTGCTCTCCCCCTCCATGCCTCCCCAACTCCACCATTCTGATTCCTCATGTTCTCATCCCCCATCTCTTCCTCTTTACCCCCCACACCCAAGTTTACCCAAAAGAACTCATCTCCTAAAATTTCATATAGATGTAATCGTAAATGCATACTTTTTGTGTCTGGTCACTTTTGTTTTTACATGTTACATTTGTTTCTCTGTGTTTGTTTATAAATACACCACATTTTTAAATTACTAATTATAAATGATATCACTGTTTCCATTTTTCATGGACACAAGTCTATGTGAATATTTATCTGTTGCCATGATGTTGGATAAAATACCTATGAACGGGATTTCTGGGTTTTATGAAAAAATCCATGTTAAAACTTTAAGAAACTGCCAGGCCGGGCGTTGTTGCCACATGCCTTTAATCCCAGCACTTGGGAGGCAGAGGCAGGTGGATCTCTGTGAGTCTGAGGCCAGCCTGGTCTACAGAGAGAATTCCAGGACAGCCTCCAAAACAATACAGAGAAACCCTGTCTCGGAAAAAAAAAGAAAGAAAGAAAAAAAAAGAAACTGCCAGGTGTGGTGGTGGCTGTAATTAATCCCATTACTCAGAAGGTAAAGTCACGAGGATTAACATAAGTTTGAGGCCAGCAGAAGTCCTGCAGAATGTTCCAGGCCACCCAGGGCTGCCTCATGAATTTGTCTGAAAAACGAAAAAGGAACAACCAAATCAAGCAACAACAACAACAGCAAAACACATATAAGGAAACCGTTAACCCGTGTTACAAAATGCTTGTCCCCTCTGGAATTCCTCCAGGGCTGTGACCATGTTCGCAGCAGGTGTCTCTATCAGCAGCACCGCCTTAGATATTGGAGAGGAAGCAGAGTGTGTCTTTGCAGTGTGACTTCTGCTTCCTTTGTCTGTTGGAGTTGATCTTGTCATGTGCCATGCCGTGTGCCTCTCTGTGGTCCCTCTGTACAAGCCACAAGACCGGGCTCTAGGGCTCTTCATGTTCCTTGGTAACCCTCACTAGAAGCTTGGGTATTGTGTGCAATCTTTTGTCACTTGACTTTTCTTTATCTTTTTTTAAGCCACATGTTTGCAAAGGCAGAAGTTTTAGATTTTTGCTAAATTCTATATATTATTATTTTCTTGGAATTTTTGGTTTTTTATTCTGCTCAGAAACTTTTGCCTGCTCCAAAGCCATGAGGATCTAGGCATCTCACATAGTATGTAAATATCAACATCGTATGAATCATATACATGTGATCTATTTCAAGTAAATTTTATGTACAGTATAAAATAAATATCTGTTTGTCATGTAGGTAATAACATTGTGGGAAATATTGATTTCCCTCTATTTTATTACCATGTCACTGACGGTGGGGCCCAGTTCAAGACTTTTAAAACAAGTGTAAAATTGAAGACTTGAGATTTTCCATAAAAGTTTTGTCTGGCAACATGTGTAGTTTTTTTTGTTTTGGTAGCAGCAGTTTTATTTGTCTGCAGGATGCTGTGTGGGAGACAGAGGCAGATAGATCTCTATGAGTTTCATACTAGCCTGTTCTACGTAGTGAGACTCTGTCTCCAAAAACAATTGCCAGTGTGTGACTAAAAACAAATGTTTTCAAAGTTTTAGCTTGGGTTTCCCTTCCTTTAGTGGATTTATTTGTTCCTCTGCCATTCTTTCTACTTGCTGTCCTTTTTATGCTCTCAAGGAGGCAAGCAATGGTCTTCAGTTTTCCAGGAAGGAAGCTGCAAAGTTACCAGCCAGAGAGAAGAACAAAGGTTCGTTGGTTCTTCTCATCCAGGCTGGTGTGAGTCAGTAAGCACCATGGCTTTAAAACTAGTAGGCATTTTCCATGTGAACAGGGGGAGAGCCGGCAAGCTCCCATCGTGGCTGCCTCCCACAAGCTGTGCAGAAGCTGCGGCAGCAGATGGCAGCCAGGCGCAGCTTGGTTTGTTTAGAGACCTACATACGGAGCAGCATGTGTTTTGTTTTGTTTTTCCCTTTAATTACTCAAAGCCACAGAGATGAGTTTCAAAGATGATGTGATATAGCCAAGGAAGAAACATCTAAAAAGACAAATGTTGCATTAGAGTGAGCTCCAGCTCTACAGCGAGGCTCTGGGCCAGCCAGGCCCTGTGTTATGTGGGACACAATGGAGGTATTCAATATTACAAGACAAGCCTGAGTCACTTTTTATTTTAATTATTCTTTATATGTATGTGTATGCCTGCTTATCTGTATGTACACCATGTGCCTGTGGTGTTCAAGGCCAGAAAAGGGCAGCAGATTCCTGAAACTAGAGTTCAGGCAGTTGTGAGTCCCAATACGGGTGTTGGGAACCAAACATGGTTCCTCTGTAAGAGCAGCAAATGCTGTAACCACTGATACATCTCCCCAGCCTTTTTAAAGATGTTGTTAGTGCCTTTTACATGTAGCTACAATGCTGGGACTATAGAAATAAAATCAGTGAGAAATAAGCAAGGGAATAGTTTCAGTACCTGCAGCAAATGGTATGCTAAACCTTTAGCAGGATACTCCAGAAGCCCTGAAGAAAAGGTACCAAATCCAGCCATGTCAGCTGTGAGGACTAGGGACAATACCAGGAAGGAAGGCAAGCCTTACTGAGTACCCAGGTGGAGTCTGGGCACCATGAGCAGGTGCTAATTAGGTAACTGGGGACTGGAGGCAGAAAACTCCATGTCCAGGGAGAAACAGAAGCAGTGTTCTTGAAGCCCCGGTAGAGGATGTGTGGCAGGGGAGGGGGCTGCTTGCCACAGAGTTTACACTTCATGAGATGGATTATTGTTTCTTCAAACGTCAGCAGCAGAGTGTCATAGAATATTTGCATTGATACAAGGACCCCATAGTTTGCAAGCTAAGTTGTTTCTGCTTAGGTTGGATAATTCCCAGTGGGACTAATAATGTACAGCCCTCCATTCATCCTTTGTTTCTTCAAGGTGTAGACTTTGTTGGTTCTCCCCAAGAGCAGAATTCATGGGCAAGTTATGTCTTATATTGGTCTTTTGGGATGTTTCCAGAAGACTTTGACTTGGAGGCATATCTGAACTCAACATTCAGGAGGCAGACGAGGAAGGGTTGAGAGTTTCAGCCCAGCCTGGGCACACATGCAGCAAGATCCTGTCTCCACAACAGTTCAGTTTAAAATTGTTTGCTCCTAAAATAAATATGGAGAATAATTACATGTGTTTTGAATCAACAGGAGGCAGAAAATTCTGAACAAATGGGCAATATTCATTGTGGCTGGAGAGATGGCTCAGTGGTTAAGAGCACTGCCTGCCCTTCTAGAGGACCCAGGTTCAATTCCCAGCACCCACATAGTGGCTCACAACCATCTGTAACACCAGCTCCAGGGGATCTGATACCTTTTTCTGGGCTCCGAAGGCACCAGTCACACAAGTGGTGCAGAGACATAATACATGCAGACAAAATACCCCCCTCATGTGCAGACAAAACACCCCCCATAAAAGCTAAAGGACAAGATAAAAAGTTACAAAAACATTCACATAATCTTTAGGTGTCTTTTTCTAATACCAGTTTTGGGCGAGAATCCCCTGAGAACTGTGTCTCTTGATGCTTGACCCGCAGCCCTGTAAGAGCAAGAAGCATGGAAATGAAAAAAAAAAAGAAACATACAAAAGGGAACTGATGATATTTCGATATTCCATATGTTTTTAAATACACAGGAATTAGAAAATAAAAGAAGATTACAAAAACAGGCTGCCACAAGTCAAAGTGCCACAGAAGTCCGCCTGAACCGAGCCCTGGAAGAAGCAGAAAAGTATAAAGCGGAGCTGAGTAAGCTAAGGCAAAGTAACAAGGTATGCAGACCTGAGTAGCTGCAGTAGTGCTCCCCCTTGGGGTCCCCTCCCTCTGCAAGCATTGGAAACCATGCTTATTGGCTCATTCCAGGGTTGGGTGGTGGAGGGGAGTGGGGCTCACACGCTGTGGTGCCCACATGGAGGGGTTAGTTGCCTCCTTCCGCCTTTTATGTGTAGTTGGGGCATCTAACTTAGGTGGTAGAGCTTACATGTTAAGTCTTTACTCACTGAGCCATCTCACCAGCCCAGAAAACAACCTCACCAACCATTTTGAAATTAAAATCTCTTCTGTGCTGACTGGTGGTGGCTCATACCTCTAACCCCGGCCACCCAGGGGGCAGAGGCAGGTAGATCTCTGAGTGCAAGTTCCAGGACATCCAGAGCTACACAGAGAAACCTTGTCTCAAAAACCAATTTTCTCGTGTCACGATGAATTCTCTTTTCAGAAAAAAAATTAATAATAGGTACATTTTCCACTAGTTAGGATTTTCCACTAGTTAGGATTTTGTTTTGGCTGTTATAATTGGGTGACTGCACAACTCTTTGGAGGATTCCTTCATTTCTTCACATAATCTTTAGAGGGTTAAGCAATGAAAAATAAGCATCCTTTGTATGTCACCTGCTGTCTTCTTCTCTGAACTCCAGGCTATGCTATGTACATGGAGGGGTTGTATTATAGGGCCACAGTTCTGAGCCCTGCGCATGGGGAGGAGGTTGTGAAGTACAGACCACTGGGCCCTGGCCTTGGAGCTCATCTCCTCAGCAGGGCAGAGTGAGGCCTGAAAATCATTCTCGCTATTGATGGTGACACCTGTTGCAGATGGGTAAATACTCTTACATCTCTATTGTCAGTGTAGTATCAGTCACTGCCTTGACATCTGTTGAGTGAATGGAGGCAGATATTGATGGGAGAACCCTTCACATGTTCTGTAAAATTCGTTCTGCATCAGCCTGATGGAATTGCTTCTTTATGACAACATTTAGTACCTTAACAATGACTTCAGAGCCACCTTATTTCATAACCAATGGTACATTCAGGATTTTCTCAGTAATACTGGCTGGAAACAGACATGATTAGCAGAAGCCAGCACATGATCCCTTAACTACAGCATTTTAATGAATTCACCTTAGCTGAATGGCCAGCTGTTGCATGTTTAAAGGCCAACAGTAATGACCTAACTGAAATAAGTCATCTTCATGTATCAACACTCAGTGTGTTGTTAAGACTTAGAAAGTAAAAAGAAGAATAACTGTGCATCAGGATTTGCTGTTCTGGTTGTTGATCTGATCTCTGATTTGCCACACAGATTAGGAAAATAGAAAGGAAAACTATTTTCTCGGCAACAAGTGACTTTCACTCTATCCAACAATATTGAAAATTCAAGTAACGAAGAATTGGTAGCCAGTAGTGGTGCACACGCTTTTAATCCCAGCACTCAGGAGGCAGAGGCAGGTGGATTTCTGTGAGTTCAAGGCCAGCCTGATCTACAAAGTGAGTTTCCAGGACAGCCAGGACTACACAGAGAAATTCTGTCTAGGAAAACTAAAAAACTTAACCAAAAGAAAAAAAAAAGGCATGGTATGTGGACACCTCCATAAACTACCAGTGTTACAAAAACGTGGATGTGTGCAAAGTTGACTCAAATTATTTCATAGTTTCAAAAGCTATTTTAGTGAGACATCATGTCAAAAAAAAGAGAGAGAGAAAGAAACTTGCTTCCTTATGACTCATATTTTTGACTTGTTACTTATTTGTATATTTTTAGGCCTTGCCTCTGGGTTATGTTTAGGCTCCACAGTAGTTTTGTTTTTCTTAGCATCTAATCTGTGTGTAACTTTTCTTTGGTTCCCATTTAATCCTTTGTGTCTTCTTATTCCTTGTAGACATATGACTAGGTAGTTAACTTTCTGGTCTGTATGTTTAAAACATGACAAGAAAATAGTAAGGTTTACATAAATATAACAAGATTCTCTCGTAGTCATCAGAAAGATAAAAATCTGTTCTTAAAGTAATAAACTATTCTCTCTACAGAGGCTAGGAAACAAAAAAAATTGGCTTTAAAGTAAAATTAACCTTTTGAACTGAAGTCAGTCACCCTAACCAGATATAGAGGTATAGAAATCTTGGTTTTGGTGTGAGAATGTGGTGTATGTGTTGTGTTGTATGTACATGTGTGCATACGTGCATATTCCCACATTTATGTTTATGTGTATTGAAGGCCAAAGGTTGACATGGGTGTCTTCCTTAATCACTCCACCTTGTTTGCTGAGGTCTCACATTTAACCCAAACAGCTTGCTCCTAGATTGCACATAGGCAACATCACTTACATGGGTGCTAGGCATCCAAAATCTGGTCCTGATATTTATCCAATGACCCATTATCTAGTCTTCTCTGTTTTCTACTCTCTTTGGAACCTTAGCTGTTCCTAAACGTTTCGTAGATGTCTCCCAAGCCTGGCACAGTTGTCACTTGTGGAACCTGCTGAAGACCTCTGCTTAGAAACAGTGTTTTTGTTTTTGTTTTTTGGTTTTTCGAGACAGGATTTCTTTGTATTGTTTTGCGGGCTGTCCTTGAACTCACTCTATAGACCAGTCTGGCCTCGAACTCACAGAGATCCACCTGCCTCTGCCTCCCGAGTGCTGGGATTAAAGACGTGTGTCTCCACCGCCAGACTAGAAACAGTGCATTTTGATGAGATGGTTATTTGAAATGTGTAATCAACATCCATGAAACTTCATTTAGAAGTGATAATTTCTAATTCCTTTTAAATTCATTTAGAAATATTTATGAGGTCCTGTTAGATACTGTACCACCCAGAGGTTTATGGGAGGTTGTAGATAGATGGAGTTAAGAATCAAATGTAGCCTTGCATTCATGTACCCAAATAGATTGAGTGCACAAGTTAGATGCTAATCTGTCAGGCAGAACTAATCACACACTTGAATTAGTCCACGAGACAGATGTTGTGGAGGGTACATGGTGTTCTGAGCTGGTAGCCAGACCATGGCATTTGTTTTCTAATTGTAATCTAAGCTAATATTGAAATAATCAGTAGCAGTTGGGTTCCAAGGAAAAGTTTATGAACAGAAGGAATCGTGTGTAGAAATGGCTGTGTGTGTGTGTGTTCAGGTGACTGAGGAAGCCAGAGGAGTGCTGGAGCTGGAGTTAAAACCACAAGCTGTTGTGAGCTCCCTGATGTCAGTGCTGGGAACTGGATCCCTTGCAAGAGCAATTAGTTTGTGCACTCTTACCTACATAGCCATACCGCCAGCTCCAGGGCTTTTTTACTTAAAAGTTTTTTTTTTCTTCTTAAACTAGGTGCCGCCATTACTAAAATAAGGAAGACTTGAGTAGGTTCCGGGAAGGACAGTTGTACATGCCGGTAGGCAAAATAGTGAAGATAAGGCCAAGGGGTTGCAAATTTGTGGGTTTAGGAAGAAACTGAATTATTTTAAGACATTGTAATATTGAAGTTATTCTGAGGACTCTGAGATGGGGTATCAAGACGTAAGAGTCTGCAGAGAGCAGATGAGTAAGAGGGAGAGAAGCAAGGGTGTGGCGGAGACCGCTGCTGGTGAGTGTTGATAGTCTCGGAACCGAGCATCACCTTAGAAAGGTTTCTGTACGGTGGTGAGGAGGCTGAGCTCTGTCTGAGATTGAAAATGAGTGAGAGGAGGAAATGGAGTGAATGCATGTCAAGTGTAGACCTTGAGGGAAATACAAAGTTGACTTAATTTAAATATAGTAAGGTCAAGATTGTACATATATATTGGGTCTTGGCTCTTAGACATTCCCATGACCACAGCTCAGTTCCCATATAGAGCATTCTCGCTGCTCAGAAAGATCCTGTGTCCTGTCTATGCTCTTCCCAGAGGTACAACTGCACTGGCTTCCTTTCCTGAGTTAAACATAAGCGAACTCACTGCATGGACAATTGGGACTGGATGTTTGCACTGTGCAAGGAACCAGGACTGACTATGCTGGGCTTTTCCCTCCTCCCATCTTATCAATGAGTTATCAGTTACTCTTGTCAGTCTGTTTGCTGTTTCCCTGACACCTCCCTTCACTTCTGCTTTCTTGTTTGGGTTTTAATTTGCTATGTGTCCTAGCTGAAGTTGAGCCTTAGACCATTGAGTTTAGACTGCATTTTCTAAAGCCTTTAAAGCTACATGTGTCCTTAAAGTGGCATTCTACATATGTCTGACAATTTTGACCTGCTTTTTTGTTTGTTTGTTTGTTTGTTATGTTATGTTTTGTTTTTCAAGACAAGGTTTCTCTGTGTAACAGCCCTGGCTGCCTCTGTCCTGAAACTCTGTTTGTAGACCAGGCTGGCCTGGAACTCACAAGAAACCCATCAGCGTCTGCCTCCTGAGTGCTGGGATTAAAGGTGTGCAGCACCATACCCAACAATTTTTGGTCTTTTTTAAAGTATATGTGTTTTTTCATAATATGAAAACATATCTAGTGTATACTAAGCCTATACATGCTTGTTGTAAAATGTAGCTGAGTTTTGGCAGTTACAGCTTGGGATTGAGGCCTGAGTCACCATGTTCAGGCAATGTGTTCTTTCTTAGTAGTACACAAAATGATGCTTCCCCATGGCATTCTCATGAGAATATATTTTCACGTGTATCATAGTCTACACATAGTCCCCTTCCTACTGCCTTCCCTCTTTCTCCTCCTCTTACTGTTCCCCTTCTTCCCCTCAGGCAGCTTCCCCTTTTTCTTTAATGCCATATAGATGTATCTGAAAATTTAGAGTCTGCATAGAGAAAACAAGCAGTGATATCTGGATCTGGCTTGTTTCACTTAGTACGATGGACTCCAGTTGTACCCATTTTCCTGCACAACATGATCTCATTCTTCTGTACCATATCCCCACACTTCCTTTATCCACTGTCTGTCTGTTGGCGGGTCTCTCTGGAGGTTCCGTAACTTGGCTGTTGTGATCCATTCTGCATTAACATGCTGACTTAGATTCCGTCTATATACACCCAG